ATTGAATATTTATCGAAGTTTATCGCTATATATCAATTCAATTTCACTCTAATAAATAAATGAATCAACTAAAATTTTACAATTACAGTTTTTCGTATTTATTTATGACTTCTTTTTTAAATTTCACATAATGTAATATTTATTAACTTTATTTACAAATTATTAATCCAGTACATGGATTAATAAACTTTAGTCTGCATAGTATTTGAAATATGTACAAAAATTTTTAATCATGAAACAATCTTTTAAGTTTGCATATGTGTGGGTCAGAGTTCTTCACTGTTTATGATCAATGAAGCAGGAAACACTATTACCTTTTTTTTATTTCTTAAAAAAGTGAATTAAAAGTCACTTACAATTTTCATAATAAATGTTTTTTTTCCACCAAATGTTGGTCAAGCATTACTAGTCTTGGAAATGAAGTTTTAACATAAATGCATAATTTGCTTTATAATGAAGATTTTTTCTTTTATAATCGTTCTTTTAAATTTCGTAGATCTCAATTGTAATAGCCTCTCCTAAGACAACAACTTCATTTGAAAGTGATATTTGAAAACAAATCTCACTGCCTATTTTTTTTTTTTTGGTACTTAATAACACTATGTAATACATTTGTTGTTGGCAGTACTTGTATTGTATCTTTTACACAGTATGGTTTCCACAGTTATGGACGCGGTATACAAGTTTAAACAGTGAACAGATATCGATTAGGGAATGAAAACTATGATCCAAATATTACATCCTTAACATACTGAGAACTTTAGAATAATGAAAGTATTCGAAACCACACAGTCTTGAATAATGTAGTCGTTAACTGTACTGGTCACTACATTACATATTCCACTAATTTTGTCTGCTAATTAAATGAAAATTACATGCTTGGAGAGAGCCAAAACACTTAATCAAATTTTTCCATGGAGTATACGATTGAATCTACAGCGTAGTGTAGTATTATGAGTTTTACGTTTGTATCTGATTAAGTTGCAATTTGTTTGAAAGTTATGCCATGCAAGACAGTTACTTTATTACGAATTATTTTTGTAATCAACATTTAATGTACAATCTTATAAATTGTACACAAAATTTTAACGAACACAAGATTTTTCAATTGCAAGTATATAGAACGGAATCATTAAAACGGAATCTTAAACACCTAAAATTTACAAAAGGAGATACAAAGAATATTACTATCAAACTTCATAATTTCAAACAAAAATTAATAGTATATAAATAAATGTAGAAAAATACTATTTCGTCACATTAATTTTATGCTACCTCTGTTTTTAAGTAATCCCTCTCGACTTATAAATATTCTAAGGCATACAAATAACTTTTCCTTAAATCAATAGGAAACGTAGTTCCATGCAAATTACGCACACAAGATTCCATTATAAATTAATCATGAACTATATAACAGAAAAAGTGAAAAAAGAAAGAAAAACAAGTTTCTGCGTTATTATTATTCATTCTATAGACTAAATATAATTATTATAATTGTACGAAAAATGTAATCACAAAAATAACAAGTTAATTATAATGCAAATGCGTGTTGGCAGGCATATTAATATTCCAAATGTTTTGAATTTGTTAATACGTTTTAATCCCTCGATTATCGATGGAATGTTCTCTTTGTTCGTTGAGTGATCTCTCATGTGGTCTTTTCCTTCATAAATTCTGCAAATGCATCACTTATTATATCTGCCATGGTTAATCACTAACCTTTGCTGTCAAACATGGTAATAACACTGTATCGTCACACGTCTACAAGTACGTATTCTATATTCTTTTTAATACGAGCAGACCTCGGGCCTCGGTATGCTCGCTTTTGTTATTTTTTATCTGGTATGTTCATTCTGTTCGTATGACCGTTTTGCCTGTAATAATATACGTATTCTATGACACTTTTCTCTGGATAGATATATAACTGTACTCCAAAATGCTACAAACTGTAACTTGTTCTCAGGTTTCGAGGATGCCATTCGTCCGAAGGACTTTGCAAGCATTGCGATTTTTTCATTACGTTACTCGAATAATTTCCGATTCAGATGTTCGCAAACCTTATACCTCGAAATATAAATTAATTTGTAAATAATAAAAGAATTTGCCGTCTGTGCTTACATAAATAATCTTTACATTCTGCCATTTTAAAACTATGTCTATAGTGAAATAGTATTTTTCTTCCTTGTAGTCAATAGTAATAATTTCCATGTTTCTCAGTCTTATAAGCAACAAAGTTCTCCATAGAAAGCTGTTCTCTTTTAGATTTTTTTTTTTTGTTAATTAGTTTCAATCTTACGTCTTATTCTGCGTCCTCTGTACATTTGTAACCTTTTTTTAGTTAACACACTTTGTAAAATTTGTTACAAATAAGTCGTGAGATACTTAAAAAGAAGGACCTCCCATACAAAAGGAAATACTATTCAACTCATCTGTACCGTGTCCAAAAATATTTCTGACCAAGTATATATATACATATATGTATATATATAAATATATATATACATATATATGTATATAATGTGTATATATATACATATATATGTATATAATGTGTATATATATATATATATATATATATATACATACATTACTTTACTAAACCTTACTCTCGTTAAGG